GGGGGGGGGGGGGGTTCGAAAGAACCGCCCCTTTTGCTGGGAAAACGTCCACTCTGGGTAAAATTTGATCTAGGTACATGAAGTTTTTGTGTGGGAAAGGTCCACCTTTTCAAAAAAAAGAACCCCCCCCATTTGAAATTGCTGGCCACGGGCCTGTTCTTTATAGTCACTATGATAGTTACTAGATGACAGAAATTATCACTCACGTATTCTTTAAACTAGAGGAAAACACGACTTGGATGGTGCAGAGTCCACAAAGCTAAATTTGTTAATTCATTTTCTTGGTAGCCTTTGGTATTGGCGACAAAGGATCTTGGTTGAATACAGTAATATAAATGAATTTATTGTCGTTTAACGAGTCAACGTAAATGTGTTAGAGAAGCGAGTCGGGTGAGAAAATGAGTTCATAGGGAGGGGAATTTTGAGATGCGCAGATTGAGTATTGCGCATTAGTATAAAAGGAATAGCGAGACGAGTAGTTTTCATTCGAGGCCGTTTCAGCCGTCTGCGTCAGGCTGGTGAAGTAAATCGCAAATATGTGATAAAAGAATATTTTAAATAGTATAGATGGCATACTAAGAGATTATAAGCGGGTCAGAGAATTAATGTTTATAAGAGAAGGTATAAGAGGAGCCAGTTGCAATAAATTGATATATTGAAAAAGGGTATACATGTACGTTTTGTCGTATTCATGAGTGTAATTTAAAGTGTAAAAGATGAAAGCAGGGTGTAGGTAACAAAGAAGAAGTGGTAGTAGTGATAAGACTGAGAAGGTGATAGTTTCTGATGTTCAGTTAATTCATGGTATGTACGCATTCGGTAATACAGATAAGAATGCAATCATTAAAAGGGTTTATGGAATCGTATAAAAGGTGGAGACCTAGTTGTGTGAAAAGACGTGATAGCCAACAGGGTGAAGGATAGCCAACACGTGAACAGCAGGGCACTGAATGATGATGATAAAATGTGGTTAAAATTTGAATGTGTTCAACAAATTAGCAGATGTATTGGATATGAGAAGTTGGTAGAGGGTTATAGTTTGAGAGTGGGTGAGGAACAGTTAGTGCGTGGTATGTACGCATACTGCGACGCAGACAGGCATACAGCAGCTCATAGCAAGGGTTAACGAAATAAAATAATTTGAATTTGATGCGGTGTTTGGGTGTTTTCGTTGCGAGTTATTAGACAATAAATGATTTATATACGATTAAGTGAAACGAATAAGAATATAAAGTTATTTATAATTGACCTTATTTTCAGATTTGGTCTCTTTCCTGAAATCGACTCGAGACCACACAGCCAAGTGTTTCCTTGGCGACCGCGAGACAGATCACGTGACATGGCAGGCAAACGACACAGCTTTAGCAAGCTTGAAAATGGTAGAAAGTCCGTCTCTTCTACACCCCTGGACCAACCGTATCGTCAGCTCAAAAACGAATCAAGGACGAAAGAAGGACACCAAAATAAAATTTATGGGCTCTGAGATAGAAAACATCCGTCGGACATTAGGTCATAAGCAGTTTATCATACCCCGTAGGCAAAAAAATTCTGTTTTAAAACACTTGATTTGTGTTTACGTTTTGAGCTGATTTTTTTACCGAGTACGTACTGAGTACATAACTTCCTTATTCATCGTTCCACGTCAAGTAAATTTCCAAGTGAAGCGTTTTGCTGTCATACGTTTTATAATACCTGCGAATAAAAATTTTCCTGATGTACATGGCGTTCGAACACAAGTTATTTTACTTTTAAATGAAATTTTAGACACAATTGACTTTTTAGGGTAACTGAATGTGGCCCATTTGGCTACTTGTAGGCGCATGGTGCGCAGATCTCGATGGGCTTCAGAAATGAAAAAATGAAAAAAAAATAATGTTTACATTTTGGACTAGACGAACAGGTTCTAAGCATGCCCCCATCACAGAGAAGATGACGCTTATTTAAATGATTACCAAAAGTTCCTAATTACGCCTCACTGTAGTACACTGATCAATAATTCGGATTATCATTTTTATTTCAAGTCGGTTGCTTAAGGGGCCCGCACACGGTGAGCATTTGGCGCGCGCCACTTGCGCTGCGCCGTTTTCTCATCGTGTGCGGGGGTATTTTGGTGAGATTTTTGCCTCTCGCGCGGCTGAGCAAAATTTCTCACGTGTTTGATTTTTTTGGTCTCTTGAGGTAAATGTCTCAGCGTGTGCGGGGTGCAAGCGTCGATTGCTCACGCCATGCTAACAATGCGCATGTGCCAGTAGCCGGAAACAAACAAAAATGGCAGCCCCCAGCGAAGTCAACAAAAATGTACACAGTTATAGTTAGTCTGATTGATTAACGTGGTCACCATTATCCATTACTATCAGAAAAAACAACAATATGTAATGTTTCCTTAAACACATGATCCCACAGTTCGTCCGCTAGGGGCAGGCCAGGAGGCACCTCTGCTGAGCAAAGAGCGCAGCGTTTGCGGGGAGCTGAGGAGCCCGAGCATCTGGCTCAGCGCAAGTGGCTCGCGCCAATTGTTTACCGTGTGCGGGGTGCTTTATTACAAAACAGTAGAATTTCGTTTATGCTGAGAAATGTTCACAAACACAAAGAAGCTATGTTTTCTTTAAAACTAAATGAGACTAAGGTCTTTATGACTTAAAAGAAAAATGATAATGGATTCCCGCCTCCCGCGCGCGGCGTCCCAGCAGGGGCGGAGTAATAAAATCTCGGAACGCTTTCAAGTGAGCGGCGCCATATTTGATCCGAAAAGAAACTCACATAAAAAACAAGCTGAGTCTCGACCTGTATACATTTGTCCCATTTATGCCTGCCTTTTCATACTTCCCCTGCATGACTACAAGGGATGTTTGACACATATTATATCCATATGCAATCATGACATTTTCACGAAACTGAGGGTCCGTGTGACAGAAAGTCTGCCAACCAAATAGTTATAATGGTTAGGGTTAGTCTGACCTAAGTGGGTAAAAATCTAGGGTGAGGCTCATCTGTACAAAGTAAAAGGAAGCGGACTCTGTGTCACGGGGGACATTCTGGTACATGACACCTGTGTCAATACGGCATTTTAACTGATAACAGCACACTAGTCAACTGGGCATCAACTGGGTATCCTGAAAACTGATAGAATGGATGACTGGTGGAAACGTTTGGAGGTCTTCCGCGTGTCGGAAAAGGTTGGGTTTTTTAGTTGAAAATCCATTGGTAAGTTTAACCTGTTGGTAGTTAAAATAAGTCATTAGAAAATCAATTTGTTGCAGGGCTATGTTTATTGTCCTTTAGTTCGTTAGATAGTCCAGCAGGTCTTTGTGATTTTTAATCATAGTTTGTCATGATAAAAACGATAATAGAAGATAGAGGTCGTTTCCTTAATGGGCCAATTTTGTGATGGGCACGGTGTTTAGTGGTTCTTAATTGACCACTGCGTTCCTTAACAGAGGTCATTGAACTGCGACACGATGTAAAAAAACGTTAATGTTATCTGGTTGCAAATTGACCATATACATGTACCCACAGTTAATATGTGTTTACTTATCTTTGCTTTTTTTTGCTATTGGCACCAAAATGTACCCCAAACCACCAACCCACACCAACTGCCCTCCTTTTGTGGGCAGCAGCTATCGTAATCTTCTTGATAATTAACCCATCTATGGTAGTCGCTCGTAATCTCTATTTACGATCTCTCCATGCAGCCGTCCTTGCCCCATTGGCTACACAATGCCTTAATGACGGGCGCGGTACACACACTAAGTACTGGCGTACTGTATATATAGTAGTGTTTTGCCATACAACTACAGGCGGACTTTATGTTAAAATCAATGAAACTTAATTTTTGGGATATAGTATGGGAAATTTTAGAGAAGTGATAAAATTTATTGCCGTAATGTATGTACTAGTACAATATTCGATTATGCACATACAGTATTATTACGTGTATATTATGTGTGTAGTTCTTTGTATGTATTTTTTTTTTACTTCTTTCATCTTTGAGGTGGTAAATAAATAAATGAATAAGTAAATAAATAAATTGTAAGGCAGAAAGCCTGGGTGTTTACTTGAGCTATAACATATAAATGAAAAAAATGTGCTCACTAGATACACCAGTGCGGTGGCCCACAAGTGCACTCCAAATTCCAAACGACACTCCCAATTCTAAACCTCACACCGAATACTTTAACTTCACTCTCAATTCTTAAACCTCACTCCGAATTCGTAAACCCCACTCCGAATTCGCAAACCTCACTCCGAATTGAAAAAGCTCACTCCGAATTCGCAAACCTCACTCCGAATTCGTAAGCCTCACTCCGAATTGAAAAAGCTCACTCCGAATTCGCAAACCTCACTCCAAATTCGTAAACCTTACTCCGAATTCAAAAAGCTCACTCCCAATTCCACTATGCCAATTCTCATCAAAGTTCTCTTCGAGAAATCTTATGAAACAGTAATTCGTCTGGGACAAATAATTTTTTTTAGCTGGGCGCTTCCAGTGAAAGGTTCGAGAGAGTTTTAGCAAACAGTGCGAATTGTGTTACATTTTGGTTTGCGTGATACATACCTTACGAAAATAAACCAACAGTTTACGTCACAAGGTCAATTGACTTCTCCAGCTATTTTCAGTATTTTTCACAATTACACACACACACATACACACACTCTCTCTCGCCAGGGACACAAATTGGGGGCAAGAAGCAATTTACAGGTTTACCATTATAAATAAAAGGACAAATTAAGTGACACTGCTCCCAATTTTCTCAACATAGGATTGATACTACTAATAATCCATACATGTCAGGGGTGGATCCAGGATTATTTGAAGGGGGATCTGTTTTTTTTTTTTGGAATGGCAGGCTGCACATGCAGAGCTGCCCCCCCCCCCCTTATAGGGCGAACAGTGTTATTTGGTACGTTTTAGAACTATTATTCAAAATTCTAATTTTAACATTGGTGTGATTTTTTTTTTACAGAATTCAAAAGGGGGGTCAAGACCCCCCTCACACGCCCCCCCCCCCCATCCACCACTGCATGTTATTCATTCGAAATCGATTAATAAAGTGTAATTAATCTGATTAATTTCAATTATTAGATTATCTATGATCTTAGATGAATATTTCAGCTGCAAAAGAGTGAGGGGCTACTAATTACTATTATCAAGTATACTCGGTTATATAACAGGTACATGTGTAGGCCTACAGTATATGATAATACGGATTGTTTTGCCCATTTATAAATAATATAAGCCAATGTCGACACCCTGAAACATGTTATCTGTATTAAACATTCATTTCAAAATAATCATGTGAAAATGCTTGAAGTTGTAAATAATAAATAACGCACGTTTATTTACATACATGTAGTGCATAAATCTGTTCCTTCCAACGCTGTTTCAACTCGTAATTCTGTTCTCATATTCATAATACATGTATAATTCCTTAAAACGACACACACAAGAAAACACGTAAACATAATATATTTTAATTGTGACTTGCTGTTAAGTACATGTATGTTTATCCCTATTTTCTTCATTTCTTCTATTTCCTTGAGCTTAAAAGGGTCATACGTCTACGTCATCATTTTGTGAATGGGAATACAGCGCACCAAGTAGTATGAAAAATAACTAGTTTTCACACGAAGCCCTCTATTGGCAAAATCCCCTAGCCCATCTTAGAATATTACTTCCGACTTTATACGGCAGTGAACGGGGTTAAAATATGAATTCGGAGTGAGGTTTACGAATTCGGAGTGAGCTTTTTCAATTCGGAGTGAGGTTTACGAATTCGGAGTGAGGTTTGCGAATTCGGAGTGAGCTTTTTCAATTTGGAGTGAGGTTTACGAATTCGGAGTGAGGTTTGCGAATTCGGAGTGGGGTTTACGAATTCGGAGTGGGGTTTAAGATTTGAGAGTGAAGTTTAAGTATTCGGTGTGAGGTTTAGAATTGGGAGTGTCGTTTGGAATTTGGAGTGCACTTGTGGGCCACCGTACACCAGGTTCTCTTTTCTTTTCAAATTACGCACGCTACATGTATCATTCATTTTACGAACAGAAAAAGCAAACTGTACTTAGTAAGCTAAGATTAAGAAGGTGTAATTTTATGTTAGAATGCTGCCTTCATTTCAGTCGGGATTCAGCGTTGAAACTACTTAGTTGTAAAAGGATTAACGGGGAATCTTTTCAGTGTCAATGCAAACAGAGGTCAATTCTTTCCTTGAAAGTCTTTTAACTGAGAAAACCGCACGAGTCCCTGAGTGTCATGTGTAATTCAGCCGTACATGCTGAAAAAAAAATAAATAAATTTAAAATATATAAAAAAATAATGGGGTCAGCTTTGGCCATGGGTGAATTACTGTGGCCGTTTGAAAAAGAGAAATAAATTAACTTTAATCTTTAACTTTTGACCAAAAATCTGATCTATTTTAGTTCAAGGCTAACCTGTAATAATCTTTGAGACTTTTGTCGCCCAACAGTTTGTTCATGAACGCGTTACTGCTTGTCGGAAAGTATTGAATACGTCATTCTTCAGTGCTCCTCATGCCGCGCAAATGACGTCATCAATGTTTCCTTCTGGATCAGTTTCGTTACACGAGTGGACGTTGGTTTGGGCATACATATATATGTACATGTACAAGCATGTTATGGCAAGGAGTAGTTTGGTTTTAAATGATTACAGCACGTTTAAAAGAACGAATAGAGCATAGAAATTGGCTCGAAAATTCATAGTATGGATGAGTGGTGGAAACGTTTGCAGGACTTCCGTGTGTCGGAGAAGGTTGGGTTTTTGGTAGAAAATCCATTGGTAAGTTAGATATTGGCTATATGTTATTAAAATCCATTGCTAGTAAGGCTATGTTGTCCTTGTTATATCAGGAAAGCAGGCCTTTTGATTTTAATGATAAGTCCCCAAGGATCGCTTTTTTTTTTAAATTGCCATGTTTTTTTAAAAAAGACTACATCTTAATTATAATGTTTTATACTGGGTACAAGTACGACACGCGCAAAAAAATTATCTGTGATATTTTCAGTACGTTATTTGTTTAGGGGTAATCCATTTTTATCATTTTCACAAGTCTACAAAGAGTAAACTTTTTACAGACCCCTTCCACGCCCTTCAGAGCGTACAAGGCGTACACTAAATATGATAACCCTGGCCAGCACACCCACTGGATGCCAAGATCATCATTTTTATTATTTTCCATAAGTGAACAGCGGGTATTACCCCCCTCCCCACCCCGGGGTATGGTTTGTAGACTTATGGAGTATGGTTTGTTGACTTGTGGAAATAATGATAAAAGTGGATGACCCTTAACTGCTAGTATATGCACCTTTTACTGTAACAATTTAGACATTCATCTCGGAAAAAATTGACAAAGGCAACACACAATGTAAACAATACTACTGATGTTTTCCTTTAACAAACAATTTAAGAAACATCACATTATATGTGGTTGTACGACGACTTATATCTGGTTAACACCTTGAATGCTTAACTTTCGTGTTAACAGTGCACGCATGTTATTCTTCACTATTTAAGAATCATTAAAATTCTCATCAAATTCAGTATGGCCCAATATTAATAGAAAAAATCAGAGAGGGGAGTGGTTAAAACAGATAAAATGTATAGATAGCCTGTCGTGATAACTATACGTGTACGTATGACTATAGTCCACAGGAAGTGTGTAACCTAACCGTGTTTCTTTGCTCCTTTTGCATGTCTTTATGACTTAGCGTTTGGTGTCCACTGTGTAATAAGGAAAGTTAACATTTTTGACAAAGTCTATCAATTTAATTACGTGTGGCAAATATTTTGAGCGTGTATATAACCATGACAGAATCAGTTCCAGTTCGAAACCAGTCTTAATGGTGTCTTTGCATTGTTAACAGCATTAAGTTAATTGACCAAGTTAATTGGCCAAGCTGCCAGTTTGTTTGTACGGCATGTGCAATTATGTAAGGGATGTCTTAGACTAAGCTGCCAGTTTGTTGGTATGGCATGTGTAGAGAATTTTTCAGATCAAGGCACATATTGTGATACTAACAATTGTGGTAAAAGAGATATAGTTGTATTTCATCACCTGTGATTTGTAAAATTCATCCGAGGATGATACTTTTTAAGAAACTTAATGTTGAAAGAATAGGCATGTAGATTGATTTAGTAACATTTTCTTAAGAAATGTTAAATTAAAGGCGGGCTGCCATTTGTTAGTGTGTTATTTCAATTATCTTGGTTTTGTACAGATTATACATGTAGGAAAAAATCTGTCTATTAATATTTTGTTGACCTCTTTGGGAATATCTGCATTTTTTAAAGGATTTATTCACACTTTGTAAATTATCCTGAAGAAAATGCAGATTGGGACTGAGCCTGTGATATATATTTTACTTATAAAACATTTGTTCACAGTCTGACCATTACATGTACTCAGTTTGCTTGAGGTTATTTTATATTGCTGATGTTGCACTGTGTACATATGTGTATTTCTTACACAATTCCCACTTATAACAACTGAAATGGAATTGTGATTAAAGATGAAAAAAAAACCTATCATAACTTAATTTATCATACAGGTGCTTACCATAAGAACAAAAATCCTAAAACAAAATTTAAGGAGAGCCGACATTGAAGGTGGCAAGCGAGAAGCTCCCTTGCTATGTAATAAAAAGGATATCCGAATTGGGAGCATACATCCTCCAGGTGGATGCACCCTTAAAGGTTCTGTCAACGGGTCTAATTTGAAAATTTATGTCACAAATGAATAGATAGAATAAATTTTCACTTAAATGAAAATAAATGTATGCAATCTTCTCATGTGTTATTCTTCATAATGATGTTTTTTCATTCAGTTTGTCAATATCAAAATAATAAAAGGTAGCGACACAGGTTATTTTAATACACAGATATTATTATTTATTATATGTAACTTTCAAATAAATGTGACAGAAAAAATCAGAGCGGACATATCAGGAAAAAATAGCCCAGCAGGCATAGTGGCATTGGATCAACGTTGAAAACAGGTTGGATCGTTGATCATTCTAAATTCAACATCAACTCAATGTTGATCCAGCCACATCAAAACGCCGTCATAATGTGACGTTGATTCAACGTTGTATTTTGGGCGTCGTGATGCTAGACATGGATTGTAATTTAAAATATTATTTAGTCGATGTAGATTCAGTATTTTTAATAATTAAAAACGTGATACGATGTTTATATAAGGCCTATATATGACATAATGTATTAAAATGAATTTATGGCAGCTGCATGGTATATATGTTGCCATGGGTAATAATTAGTTCTAGCTTATAAACATCAAAAACAGTGGCGTAAAATCCACTTCAGGCTTGTTTTAAATTAAAATATTAATTTACAACAGTCTTGCACGGTGCGAATTGTAGAATCTTCGGGCTATCGTAACCGCAATAACCAGCATGTGATGAAAGCTTAAATAAACTATTGTAGTGAATACCCCGCCATCATCCATGATGTTCAATTGATCATTGCGTCCGGAAAAAATCAAACAGAAATCAAAAGAGTAGCGAACTTTAGATCGAAATATGAAAAACGTTGCTTGTTTTTTCAGATATACATTCTAATAAATTTCCTCGCAAGGTCAGCTAACACAAGGATGATTAAATCCATCTAAAATGTGTAGTGAAGTTAATGATGTTAATAGTTAACGGTATCCTTTGATAGATAGATAGACATTGGTATATATATATATATATATATATATATATATATATATATATATATATATATATATATATAAAGCGTTGAAAAAATGAGACAAACAGGCGCTTTGAAATGTGTTTAGGAGCTAAACGCTGTTTTACAGTGTACGTTATAATTGTGTACCTGTGTTTTTAATTGAATAATTATATTAAAAAAAACATTTCAGGTCGTTTTTATGTCTTTTCATGCAAGAATGTTGTCTAACAAGTTGGGTTGATAAAACGTTGTTATCTGACGTTGATACAACGTCGTAATTTGACGATGATCCAATTTTCAAATCCATTGTTAATCCAACGTCTTGTCAACGTTGAAACAACATGATTTGCCCGCTGGGAGGACCTATCCGGACTTGCCCTTGCATTCCTTGCCATGGGACTTGCATTCCTCAATAACTGTTGTCCCACGGATGTAAAATCCTAGTAACGTTTGTCCTAGGCATCCATTCCTAGAAACGCTAGACCTAGGGCTTGCATGTCTGGTGGGACTTGTGTTACTAGGACTGCCATTCCTTTCACACCGGCCTAGTAAACAAGGCTACTTGTCGTTTCACCTAGATGCACATGTGCCGGTAGTTTGATGTAAAAACTAATGCACGTGGAAAACACAGTTAAATTATCCTAAATAAACGAAAACCAAACATTGGTCTCTGTAACGCGTCTGTGTCAAGCATTGTGAGAGTATAAATTAAAGGAAATGTCAGTGGAAATTTCAAAAAGAGAAGTGTTAAAATGGCGATCAAGGCTTTGGCAAGAGGAATATTAATAAACAAATAGCGCTTTCTACCTTTCTGTTTCAGGACCACCTGTCGGAATATTTCCTTCCTTGGGAACAGCTCGGGAAGAAGGCTGCCAAGTTGGATGCGGGAGAACTGAAAGACCAAGTTAAAAAGGTACTGAGAGAGAGAGAGAGAGAGAGAGAGAGAGATTTGTTGCCATAAAACCTTTCATTAAAATGCTTTTGTAGAGCTAACACTGTATCATCCATGAACCAGCTTTTCAGTTTGGTTTCTGTACTTATCGCGTTTGGAAGTGTAACTGTATAAACTCACACCTGTAATTCCCATTTTTCCAGTCATGACTCTAAGCTTAGGTTTTCTAAGTTCAAACTCGCCGTTTTATTCCAGTTACCATGTCTGGACTACACTCGTCTAAGGAGTTATGAAGAGTACTGTTTAGCCCACAGCCTGTTGTCTACAATTGCACACTGTTATGTTTGGCAGGACAGAGATAAGGGCGTGGTACCTGAGGTATGATTATATTAAACATTGGATTATCTTGAACCATCGTATGAATAATTATATTATATTATATTATATTATATTATATTGCAGGTTCTTCCAAGGGCTGTTGCTGTTCCTTGGTATCACGTGTCCCAGTACCTAGGACTTAACCCTGTCTACTGCTACATGGCAGGTATGCTGGCTAACTGGAGGAAGGAATCGGAAGACAGCTGGTTTGTCTCTTGCTTAACAATAATCTTCAACATCATCAATTTTTATTGATTACGTCTTCTGTGGGTATGCGTTAGTGCCAAAGTGAACTTTATTTGATAAACACATGTATTTCAAGCTCCGTAAACTATAATTGCTGTTTGCGATCACGAGCCTCAGATTTGTGCACTCGAACGCCCAAATTAACGGCTTGATGTGGCGCTGGTTAGTCCTAATTTTGTACAGTTCTTAGACCTAACCAAAGCCGTCGTCTTCGAGCTAAAGACACACACACTTAATGCTTGCCTGTTTTTGTGACTTCGAGTTTCGATACAAGTGATATTGGACACATTGCTCTATGATTCGTAACAAATCTGTGAGCGTAAACAGCGTTTTACGATGATATGATTCTACATGTACCTTTTATGAATGTACATAATATATTTATAGCGTTGCTAAGCTCAATATTTTAATCTTTAATATATCATTTCAGCGACATTGACATCATTTGCGGCGCGCCCGGGACTCCCCACACCGACTGGTTTTTCAAAGTTTCAATTCAAATCGAAATTGACTTTGGCAAGGGAGTCAAGGTATTAACGTTTGTGGTAGTGTCCCCGTTTTCTTGCCTAGTCACTTCGGGTAAAATGAAATGATCCCCAAAATTATTTAATTAAATTTTACTTGACAAAATGGACCATCCGTAAATGATATAAATTTTCTCACACATGCCTATCTTAATTGAATAACTTTATTTCACTCACGCTGAAGAACTGAAGCACGCATGCGTGCGCAAAGATACAAAACTTGTCTCGCAGACTGAAGACCGCTACTGAGATTAGAGTTCACCAGTTGCGTTGAATGGGAAGGATAGATAGAAATGTCCATACATGTATATGTAAACAAGGCCTTGTCTAAAGGCGAGAATACAGACGACGTGACTTAAGACGATGCCACTTATAACTGACAACAAATGGCTAGAATTTTTCTTAAATTACAGGATATAATTAAAACATATCAGTCGTTGGCGACAGGTAATGACGACGGTTTGATAGAAGGTTTGCAAGGGATTGCAGACACCATTCAGAGGATGCAACAAACACTGTCCAGAATGCACGGTATGGATGTGTGTCCTCTCTCTCTCTCTCTCTCTCTCTCTCTCACACACACACACACACACACACACACACAGACAGACACACACAGACACTGTTAACAAATGCATGTAGTGATAAGTAATTTACCGTTACTATTTGACGATTCAAATATTTTAAACTTTAAAGAACGTTACTCTTTCAAAGAATTAAAGGTATTTTTAATTGTTTTATAATATTGTATCATAAATAGTGAGCTTAAATTCACATCAAGATGATTCTTCTGATATATGCCTATACAAGAACATGAAGCAATAGACATTTAGAGGTTAAAAGAAAATTGTTGAAATGGAGCTTTGCAACTGACGAATCAGAGACCTAGAAATACAGTTGTGGTGACTTATTTTGGATATCAAAATTTCAGCAATAGCAAATTAGTTTGTGTTCATTTTTGCTTTGTGTTTGTATTGTCACTATGTGGATTAAAAAATTGTAGGGACTTTAGTGTTTATAGGTTTATTTCTATTTCAGTACAAATAAGTGTTACTTTACGCTACGTGGCCACTTTATATCAAGTAAATATAGTGAGCGCCGGTAAAAAACGCAGGCATAACATACATAATTGTATCTGACCCATTAAAACCCCTAAATTGTACAAGGATTAAAATCAATATATAGTTATGATACACCTTAATTGCTAGTATTTTCTTTTCTTTTTTTTTACAGAAAAACAAGACCCTTGGCCTTTTTATAATAAACTCCGACCGTTTTTCGAAGGGTAAGTCTTGAATGTTTGGTAACATAAAAAAATTTTTTGAGATAAATACATAAATCTTATCATAAAATTGAACAAAAATATATCAACGAGTTTTTCTTAAATTTATTTATTTATCTATTTTGCTAATCCGTGCGTCTCTGGCGAAGTATAATGGAGATGTGTAGTAAAATGTTTAATTTTTTCTTCTCTGATAAAAACTGTTCAAATTGACCCACATGTACACTGTACAATACAATTTTGCAGCTGGGGAGCACAAAGCAAATTTCTCCCGGAAGGACTGATATACGAAGGTGTCAGCGATTCACCGTTACAAGTAAGTAGCGCATGCGTAATGGATTTACACCAACCAGCACACCAGCGACCCCTGGCGGATTTGTCCCCCGATTAACTTCGTTGATGCAAGTCACCTTTTGAACGTAAAATGTTCCTTTTTTTGTTTTTTTTTATCTGTTAACCATCATTAACTACAAAAAGACGCACAGTGCAGGTTGTATGTCGTAGAAAAATCTATAGGCCTATCCCCTTTTGAAATGCTGTCTTCTACCAGTAGGATACAGCAATGTTATGTCAATTGTATGTAAACAGAAAGGTGCGTAGTGAATATATGTGAATATGTAGTGAAAAACATCAAATTGCGGCCCAAGTATAATGAACAACGCGTGAGGAAGATCCAAAATGTTATATTGTCTGTGAAATATACATTTACTTTGTTACAAGCCAACTACATGTACTCGAGTTAAAGTCATCACAAATGTTTTTTTTTTCTGTTTTGCTGACACGGGATCCTAATCTACGTATTAAATAATTATTATCATTTTTAAAGTACTTGGGAGGGAGCGCCGCCCAGAGTTCAACCATCCAGACCTTTGACGCCATACTTGGGGTCAAACACGGCAGGTAATGGACTAGTACTATACAGTATCTGCTAATGAGCACGTGCGAGTAAAATTATGAAAAACAAACTTTATAACGTCCACTGAAGGTTAAGATTTTTTTTTTTTTTTTGAAAATTTTAAATTTTTGTTATAGTTACTGTATGTGCATGACTATACTAAATACGCAGATAAGGGAGGGCAATAAACGATACAAAAAAAAAAAACTATCGATAAAATGAGGGCAGCTTGAATTGATATTAATAAATTTGCTTGCCAACTGGTATTAGTTGGTAAAGAGGGAGAGAGTATAAATCTGCAGTTTTGAAATTTGTAATCCTTTAAGGACTTTTTCAATCTAGAAGCAGTTCCATATCTCAGAAAAGTAAGGGAATATATGCCTGCAGGTCACAGAGAGTTTCTGAACGCCATAGAAAACGGACCTTCTCTCAGACATCACGGTAGGTGATTTCAAACTTTAATGACTTATTCAAGCATACATTTAGCCCAGCGACGTAAACATTCCTGGCGCTTTGAACTGACGTGGTTGTAACGTGCTCTCTCTCTCTCTCTCTCTCTGTGTGAGTGAAGGGGGTTATCTGCATTTCTGCATTAGCCCCACCTACCTCTTACATGATAAACCAAACATTTTGATTTTTTTCTTTTCTTTTTTTTTCTAGTGAAGCTTTTACACAATGATGGTGTACGAAAAGCGTACAACAAATGCATCCAAGCACTCACTGATTTTCGATCATATCACTTTGCGATAATTGTGAAGTAAGTGACTTGATTTCTATAATGATCAGATTCTTAAACATACCATTTCCACGTGTTTTAAAGTAGAAGTAAGTAAGTCAATNTAAAGCGTTGAAAAAATGAGACAAACAGGCGCTTTGAAATGTGTTTAGGAGCTAAACGCTGTTTTACAGTGTACGTTATAATTGTGTACCTGTGTTTTTAATTGAATATTTATATTTAAAAAAAACATTTCAGGTCGTTTTTATGTCTTTTCATGCAAGAATGTTGTCTAACAACTTGGGTTGATAAAACGTTGTTATCTGACGTTGATACAACGTCGTAATTTGACGATGATCCAATTTTCAAATCCAATGTTAATCCAACGTCTTGTCAACGTTGAAACAACATGATTTGCCCGCTGGGAGGACCTATCCGGACTTGCACTTGCATTCCTTGCCATGAAACCCTAACCCTTGCATTCCTCAGTAACTGTTGTCCCACGGACGTAAAATCCTAGTTACGCTTGTCCTAGGCATCCATTCCTAGAAAAGCTAGACCTAGGGCTTGCATGTCTGGTGGGACTTGTGTTACTAGGACTGCCATTCCCTTCACACCGGCCTAGTAAACAAGGCTACTTGTCGTTTCACCTAGATGCACATGTGCCGGTAGTTTGAAATAAAAAGTAATGCAAGTGGAAAACACAATTAAGTTATGCCTAAATAAACGAAAACCAAACATTGGTCTCTGTAACGCGTCTGTGACAAGCATTGTGAGAGTATAAATTAAAGGAAATGTCAGTGGAAATTTCAAAAAGAGAAGTGTTAAAATGGCGATCAAGGCTTTGGCAAGAGGAATATTAGTAAACAAATAGCGCTTTCTACCTTTCTGTTTCAGGACCACCTGTCGGAATATTTCCTTCCTTGGGAACAGCTCGGGAAGAAGGCTGCCAAGTTGGATGCGGGAGAACTGAAAGACCAAGTTAAAAAGGTACTGAGAGAGAGAGAGAGAGAGAGAGAGATTTGTTGCCATAAACCTTTCATTGAAATGCTTTTGTAGAGCTAACACTATATCATCCATGAACCAGTTTTTCAGTTTGGTTTCTGTACTAATCTCGTTTGGAAGTGTAACTGTATAAACTCACACCTGTAATTCCCATTTTTCCAGTCATGACCTTAAGCTTAGGTTTTCTAAGTTCAAACTCGCCGTTTTATTTCAGTTACCATGTCTGGACTACACTCGTCTAAGGAGTTATGAAGAGTACTGTTTAGCCCACAGCCTGTTGTCTACAATTGCACACTGTTATGTTTGGCAGGACAGAGATAAGGGCGTGGTACCTGAGGTATGATTATATTAAACATTGGATTATCTTGAACCATCGTATGAATAATTATATTATATTATATTATATTATATTATATTATATTGCAGGTTCTTCCAAGGGCTGTTGCTGTTCCTTGGTATCACGTGTCCCAGTACCTAGGACTTAACCCTGTCTACTGCTACATGGCAGGTATGCTGGCTAACTGGAGGAAGGAATCGGAAGACAGCTGGTTTGTCTCTTGCTTAACAATAATCTTCAACATCATCAATTTTTATTGATTACGTCTTCTGTGGGTATGCGTTAGTGCCAAAGTGAACTTTATTTGATAAACACATATTTCAAGCGTAGGCTCCGTAAACTATAATTGCTGTTTGCGATCACGAGCCTCAGATTTGTGAACTCGAACGCCCAAATTAACGGCTTGATGTGGCGCTGGTTAGTCCTAATTTTGTACAGTTCTTAGACCTAACCAAAGCCGTCGTCTTCGAGCTAAAGACACACACATTTAATGTTGCCTGTTTTTGTGACTTCGAGTTTCGATACAAGTGATATTGGACACATTGCTCTATGATTCGTAACAAATCTGTGAGCGTAAACAGCGTTTTACGATGATATGATTCTACCTTTTATGAATGTACATAATATATTTATAGCGTTGCTAAGCTCAATATTTTAATCTTTAATATATCATTTCAGCGACATTGACATCATTTGCGGCGCGCCCGGGACTCCCCACACCGACTGGTTTTTCAAAGTTTCAATTCAAATCGAAATTGACTTTGGCAAGGGAGTCAAGGTATTAACGTTTGTGGTAGTGTCCCCGTTTTCTTGCCTAGTCACTTCGGGTAAAATAAAATGATCCCCAAAATTATATAATTAAATTAAACTTGACAAAATGGACCATCCGTAAATGATATAAATTTTCTCACATATGCCTATCTTAATTGAATAACTTTATTTCTTCCTCCGTCACTCACGCTGAAGAACTGAAGCACGTATGCGTGCGCAAAGATACAAAACTTGTCTCGCAGACTGAAGACCGCTACTGAGATTAGAGTTCACCAGTTGCGTTGAATGGGAAGGATAGATAGAAATGTCCATACATGTATATGTAAACAAGGACTTGTCTAAAGACGAGAATACAAACGGCGTGACTTGGGACCATGTCACTAATAACTGACAACAGATGGCTAGAATTTTTCTTAAATTTCAGGATATAATTAAAACATATCAGTCGTTGGAGACAGGTGATGACGACGGTTTGATAGAAGGTTTGCAAGGGATTGCTGACACCATTAAGAGGATGCAACAAACACTGTCCAGAATGCACGGTATGGATGTGTGTCCTTTCTCTCTCTCTCTCTCTCTCTCTCTCTCACACACACACACACACACACACACAGACAGACACACACAGACACTGTTAACAAATGCATGTAGTGATAAGTAATTTACCGTTACTATTTGACGATTCAAATATTTAAAACTTAAAAAAACGTTACTCTTTCAAAGAATTAAAGGTATTTTTAATTGTTTTATAATATTGTATCTAAAATAGTGAGCTTAAATTCACATCAAGATGATTCTTCTGATATAGGCCTTTACAAGAACATGAAGCGATGCACATTTAGAGGTTAAAAGAAAATTGTTTAAATGGAGCTTTGCAACTGATGGATCAGAGACCTAGAAATAAAGTTGTGATGGCTTATTTGTATTTCAGCAATAGCAAATTAGTTTGTGTTCATTTTTGCTTTGTGTTTGTATTGTCACTATGTGGATTAAAAAATTGTAGGGACTTTAGTGTTTATAGGTTTATTTCTATTTCAGTACAAATAAGTGTTACTTTACGCTACGTGGCCATTTTATATCAAGTGAATATAGTGAGCGCCGGTAAAACGCAGGCATAACATACATAATTGTATCTGACCCATTAAAACCCCAAAATTGTACAAGGATTAAAATAAATATATAGTTATGATACACCTTAATTGCTAGTATTTTCTTTTCTTTTCTTTTTTTTTACAGAAAAACAAGACCCTTGGCCTTTTTATAATAAACTCCGACCGTTTTTCGAAGGGTAAGTCTTGAATGTTTGGTAACATAAAAACTATTTTTGAGATTAATACATAAATTTTATCATAAAATTGAACAAAAATATATCAACGAGTTTTTCTTAAATTTATTTATTTATCTATTTTGCTAATCCGTGCGTCTCTGGCGAAGTATAATGGAGTTGTGTAGTAAAATGTTTAATTTTTTCTTCTCTGATAAAAAACTGTTCATGTTGACCCACATGTACACTGTACAATACAATTTTGCAGCTGGGGAGCACAAAGCAAATTTCTCCCGGAAGGACTGATATACGAGGGTGTCAGCGATTCACCGTTACAAGTAAGTAGCGCATGCGTAATGGATTTACACCAACCAGCACACCAGCGACCCCTGGCGGATTTGTCTCCCGATTAACTTCGTTGATGCAAGTCACCTTTTGAACGTAAAATGTTCCTTTTTTTGTTTTTTATCTGTTAACCATCATTAGCTACTGAAATACGCACAGTGCAGGTTGTATGTCGTAGAAAAATCTATATCCCCTTTTGAAATGCTGTCTTCTACCAGAAGGGTACAGCAGTGTTATGTCAATTGTATGTAAACAGAAAGGTGCGTAGTGAATATATGTGAATATCTAGTGAAAAACATCAAATTGCGGCCCAAGTATAATGAACAACACGTGAGGAAGATCCAAAATGTTATATTGTCTGTGAAATATACATTTACTTTGTTACAAGCCAACTACATGTACTCGAGTTAAAGTCATCACAAATGTTTTTTTTTTTTCTTTTTTGCTGACACGGGATCCTAATCTACGTATTAAATAATTATTATCATTTTTAAAGTACTTGGGAGGGAGCGCCGCCCAGAGTTCAACCATCCAGACCTTTGATGCCATACTTGGGGTCAAACATACGGCAGGTAATGGACTCGGACTATACACTCGGACTATACAGTATCTGCTAATGAGCACGTGCGAATAAAATTATGAAAAACAAACTTTATAACGTCCACTTAAGGTTAAGATTTTTTTTTTTTTGAAAATTTTAAATTTTGGTTATAGTTACTGTATGTGCATGACTATACGAAATACGCAGATAAGGGAGGGCAATAAACGATACAAAAAACTTATCGATAAAATGAGGGCAGCATTTTTTTGTTTGAATTGATATGAATAAATTTGCTTGCCAACTGGCATTATTTGGTAAAGAGGGAGAGAGTATAAATCTGCAGTTTTGAAATTTGTAACCCTTTAATGACTTTTTCAATCTAGAAGCAGTTCCATATCTCAGAAAAGTAAGGGAATATATGCCTGCAGGTCACAGAGAGTTTCTGAACGCCATAGAAAACGGACCTTCTCTCAGACATCACGGTAGGTGATATCAAACTTTAATGACTTATTCAAACATACATTTAGCCCAGCGACGTAAACATTCCTGGCGCTTTGAACTGACGTGGTTGTAACGTGCTCTCTCTCTCTCTCTCTCTCTCTCTCTGTGTGTGAGTGAAGGGGGTTATCTGCATTTCTGCATTAGCCCCACCTACCTCTTACATGATAAACCAAACATTTTGATTTTTTTCTTTTCTTTTTTTTCTAGTGAAGCTTTTACACAATGATGGTGTACGAAAAGCGTACAACAAATGCATCCAAGCACTCACTGATTTTCGATCATATCACTTTGCGATAATTGTGAAGTAAGTGACTGGATTTCTATAATGATCAGATTCTTAAACATACCATTTCCACGTGTTTTAAAGTAGAAGTAAGTAAGTCAGTGTAAGTCCTTGTAAATCAATTTATTGCTCCAACAATCATGAATATAGATCTGTTATCCATGAACATAGGTCACATTGGAATATGAGAAATAAAGGTCACTATTGAAATACAAGAAATATTGGAAACATCAAAAACAGTGGATTATAAAATCAAACGAAAGATGTATAACATTTGCTTCCATTTGCAGATATATTTTAGTGCAGTCGTACAAGAAAAATGGAGAATCTCGTTATGGCTCGGAGGCCCAAGGGGCAGGCGGAACATGTGAGTAAATCCATGATACTGGAAACTAACTACTAACAATACTCCTGTCCAGCTATTAAATTATATTAATTAAATCGCACTTAAAGGTGAGGAAATTATCATCAATTTATTCCTTATTCGAGGCAGAACACTGATGGTGAAATTCCACCATGTTCTCTCTCATTTGCTTGATAATCGTTTATTTTAATTAAATTTGGTACATATGATCTTAGTTAAATATAGTAACATAGTTATTTGGAACTGAACTTATTTTCAGATTTGGTCGCCTTCTTGAAATCAACTCGCGACCAGACAGCCAGGTGTATCCTTGGCGACAGCGAGACAGATCACGTGACAAAGCAAGCAGACGACACTGTTTTAGTAGGCTTGAAAATGGAAGAGAGACCTAGCTCGCCTCTTCTACACCCAGGGACGACTCGTATAATCAAAGCAATAGCAGATCCAGAGGTTTAAAAAGGATATAAAAAAAGAGACAGTTAGTGCTATCTGTGATAACCAGTAAGAGGCAGCTATTGTATTTTATTCAAGGCATCAAAAGTTGATAAACTGCGTAAAAAAATAAGGTCAATATAGTAATTTACTTTTAAAGTCTATTTTTATTGTACCCGAAACCTTTAGCAGGGCAGTTGAAAAGAAGAAACAAATACCAGTAACTTTATAATTATTAAGCATATTATTCAGGGATAAGTGTAAAAAGTTTATTATCTTGAACATATTCTTTGAACACAATTTGTTTCTTTTAAAGGAACTTTAGACAAAATGCAATAACCCGATATAAACGGTACCATTAACACAGAGATGAACAGAGTTGTTGCTTTTTTTAGTTAATTATTTCAAATCTTTAATCTTTAACTACAGTATCTCTCTTTCTCTCTTTCTCTCTCTCTCTCTCATGTCACAATCACATCCATGGGCAAATAAGCCCAGTAGGGCTGACAGATCTTGGAACAAATTTTCGCATGTGCATAGTTTGCACAAATAATCAGTACTACTAATAAACGTCCACGATAGTGTTAATTGATAGTCAATAAAATTATTTCATCCACTCAACAATTATTATCTTATAATGTAAGATAACACCCTTTACCATTCGTTATTAATTGAAAGTGCTCTAAATTTGTATACACCGCTCACATTAGAGTCCGCGCACTCTTAATTAACGAAATGCTATACACTGGGATATATATTATATATA